CAGTAACCGATTGTCTTCTCTAAATTTAAGATGCGTTATACAAAGAAAGTTTCTGTTTGGCCAGTTGGTCTGGTGGGAGGATTAAAATGGGAAGGACCAATCTGCAAAGATGGCTCTGTTATTAAGTTTTACACTCTCTGGAAACCTGAACGTCCTATGCCGGTTGATATGGCAGGATTTGCTATCAATGTTCAGCTCATTATTGATAATCCAAGTGCGGTGATGGATACCTTTGCAAGCAGAGGATACCTAGAGTCCTCTATTGTAAGCAAACTGGCAACAAGAGAAGAGTTCGAGCCTTTGGCAAATAACTGTAAACAGGTATTCCTTTGTTCTTACTTATTATATTTTTCTTTATTATTTAAATTATTAGCCTTCGGGAACAAAGGTCGAATGCTCTTAAAATGGTCGTATCTCGTAGCCTTAGAAAACAGCCGACATATCGCGACATCACCACTAGTTTCACCTCGAAATTACGTCTTACAAACGAGCGCAGAAATTCCATACTGATAGCGTGTCACTACCCAGATCTGGGTAGTGATTTTAATTGCTTGAAATTTTGCTTCAACCAATCAGAAGCACTACCCAGGTCTGGTGGGTAATGACGTGTCATTAGTATGGAATTTCGCGGAGAAAGCAGTGGTGGGGTTGTGAAATATCGGCTGTTTTCTCAGGCCACGTATCTCGTAAACCGTTTTCATTTATTCAAAGTCGTTGGTTTTTCTTGTCCTTAAAATGTCCCTATTCATTTATGTAGTAAAACGTCTTTGCAGTAAAGTGACGGGACACCTTTTCGTTCAAGCTAACCTGAGCGTAGCCCGTTTTAATCTTCCCCAGTTTTTCAACCAGAAAATCAAATTCCATTTTCCACCCCAAATTTTATACCAGTTTCAGGTTTTCGCGACCTTTGTTTCGGCAAATGGACTGGTTTTCGCAAAGACAAACGCGATTTCCCAACTAGATCCTTTGATCTATAAGGTGAATGCGATTCTCTTGCATTCCTTTTTTTTTACACCTAGATTCTTGTGTGGCACACTCAAACTGGGGACCCCAAAATGAAGCAAGAAGATAAATTAAACAAAATAGGACGCAAATCTCCGCCAATGGAAGTGTAAAGTTGGTGTTCTCCTTATGATTTTTATAGACCTTTCTACCTTTCGCCACGGCCAATGCTATACTCACGCAGACGTAATCTACTGATATTAATGTGTCAACCAAGAGCGCATTGGTTTTTGTAACAAAAAATTCTTTTGTTTCACTCGTTACATATTTGAATAACAAAAACAATGTTTTAAACAGTGATATCTTCAATGCTATGATCACGGTATAACATAATAAATAGGACTAGAAAAGATTCTGAACGATACTCTGTACACCGCAACATCTTATCATCATCATCATCATCATCATTTGGTTACTCTCGCAACCAATACATCATTCTTTTGTCGCAACCCAGTGCTTGCTTCACCCCTAACATATGTTTCGCTTTTTGTTTGTTGTGGTTGTTGTTGTTTTTTGAATTAGCAAAACTAAAACTATTTTAAAACTATTGATATGACTAAAAAGATATAAAAAAGATATATTAGATGGTTTCAAAATTAATAAACATGGTTCAAGAAGAAATGATTAATAAATTGTGGGAAATTGCGCAGGAAAACGTCTCTCTTTTTTTGTGCAAACGTGTTATAATTTAAACGATCGAGACCACAATGTATGTTGTGTAATATTCGAAGTGAGCTTCAATATTCACATTGTGATAGACATTGTTACATTGCAAAAAGTGAATAAATAAATAAATAAATAACTTAACACCCTGTCATCAACTTGATGAGACGACTGCCATTGCTATGGCCTGAAAATAAAGCTGTTTTCAGAGCTAAAGCTATGACTGTGGTAGGGTTCAAGTCCAACCCTACCCCATCCCATATGCATTTGTAAAAAGGGTAGCACTGTGCTGTGGTGGCATCTAGCAATTACAGGTAATTACGATTATTATCCATTTGATTTATTCAAAATAGTTTCCGTTTCTGATTGGCGCAAAACCCTTTGTTGTATAATTTTTCATTGTAACCCTGTTAGCGCTGATCAAATTGATCAAATCGCGATCACATGAAAAACAAAAATTGGTCAGCGGATGACTTTGAAAAACTTCAATGAGCTTTAAACCTGAGCCTGCGATACAGTCATGTGATACTGATCAGCGGATACCTTTTTGACAGCTGTCAATTGAACATAACATGGATTTGGCGCATTGAAATATATTGATATAGATATTTGCGCCTTAAAAGTTTTGAAAATTATTATTATTATTATTATTATTATTATTATTATTATTATTATTATTATTGTTATTATTATTATTATTATTATTATTATTATGATGATGATGATGTCCATTACTAAGTTAAAGACAGATAGTATATGTCTTGGACTCCAGCTAGTAAGTGTGCCATTTCACATCCGCTTACGTACAGACGATTGTGTCCCAACCAAGATTCCTTGGACGCCTGGATAACCAAATTTCCCTGGGGGCTCCGCTGCGCGCACTTCGCGCGAGCGAGAGCTCCGCTATCAATGCCGTTTAATACAGGTTCATTCGTCGAAGTATGGACATTAACGTGTTGGGCTCACTTTAGCTAAAAGGGCAAAATACACAGGGAAAGAAACATGAAATCGTGACTTTCTATAGAAGTCATATGTTCGATTGAAACTTGTCTTTAATTTCCATCACATTCCTTGGGAATTCCTTTTCACCAAGAGACTAGAGTAAATTACGGTTCATTCATACTGCGTTAGTCGTCTTTATTAAGCCATAAAGTTATTTAATTGGTATAGTTTTATCCCAATATTTATTTTTCTTCTTCTTTATCCTTCTTCTATACCTGCTGACTCTGGGAAATACGTTCTACATGAGTCCTAGCCTTTAGGACAGTAACTTGTTGTGTCATTTCGTTGCTACCTTGAGCTCCGTACGCTGTTGGACTTGTAGAAACGCTGTGGTATGGCAGATGGTTTGCCGGTATGTCAGAAGCTTTTAGAGTCGAATTCACTGATAAAGAAATAGTATGTACATTAATGAATGTTCAGGAAGACTAGGATTCTATTAAAGATAAATTTTAAATTGTCGACGACCGTAACTGTTGTAGTGGAGTATTTAAAAGTGATTGATATGGGGCCACGCCATATTATTAAAAAAAAAAAAAAGGAAAAATAGTATTTTTAGGTACTGTTTCGTGAAATTGCCTTGAAATACCTCGAACCCTCCTCATTTTTTTCTATTTTTCTTTTTTTTTTTTTTTTTTTCTGTACAACCCTACCGACCAACCCATTCTTTCCTTATTTTTTTTCTTCGACCCTAGTGATGACCAACCAACTCTGTCGCTCGATGGTAAACTAAACACAAGAAAGTTTTTTTTTTCTGAAACAAAATTGCATTTTCAAGGAGAGCTGTGTGCATTTAGGGTACTTAAACAGGGAAATATTGCCACATTTTAATACGAACACGACATCACGATATGTTGTGTATGATTTCCTATCTGTACCTTTTGAATTATTCGACATAGGCTAAAAGAGTACAATTTTAAATACTTCAAGGGGAGCTATGCCACGTGGATATTATTGTTTAAGCCTCAATTCTCTGCTGAACTGTCCATACTTAGAGTCCTTACCAATGTTCTATAGAGACATGAAGAATATATCAAACAAATTTCATCAGGGAGCATTAACCATAATATTTTTCGGGGGTGATTTTTGCAGGCCAAGCATTAAAACTTGAAAAGCTGGACCGACTTTTTCAAGTTTCAATCCATTTTCATCCTTGCCATTCCTTACCAAAAAATGATAGGGAACAGTTTCAGTGCCTAACTGTAGTCTTAAATAAAAAAAAAACGGGACCATCATTTTTGTAATTCAGTTGATGCGAGAACGCGTTTTACATTTTTAAACTGAAAAGCTGAAAAATAGTTTGACCTAACCCATTTAAATGCAATCACGGTCAACAGTTGCACTTTGAAATACCTCTGCATGCGTCATCTCTGATGCTCGTGTATAGATCCTTAAGGTTGTTAAAGTCTGCTGTTAATGCGTATTTCCTGTCAGGTTTACTGGCAATATCTATCAACTGGGCAATGTCATATTTCCGCCCGACCCCTATTGCAAAAACTGTGATGTTTGCCGCCTTAAGCTGGTCTGCTGGACCTTTAACCGCATCTTTTGACTTGCCTGAAAAACATGAAAACAAAAACATGAATTAAACAAACATATAGGGAATATTTTGGACACGGTGGCTGTGTTAAGACCAAACATATTCCAGGGGCACCCAACGACAATTGTCGGAAAAATATCTGTTCGGAAGACGATTTGAGATCTAGAATTTTCGGAACATTTGTTGTAAAATTTCTTGCTTGCATGCCTCTCCTAGGATTTTCGAACAAATAAAAAATGGTATACTTGCCCATTTTAAACTAATTTTTACCCTAAAAAGCTCACCTAGAATTTTCGGGAGCCTATTTTCTGGCTAAAATTTTCGAAAAGGTAAGTTTTGATCCCTATAACTTTCGGATCACTAGACTTTCAGCTAGGAAATCCGAACAGATAAAAAATTTTTAGGGGATAAAAATATGCCTATCTCTACCTTTTAAATACTAAAATACATTTAATAATGCTGTGTTTAAGTGGTTTTGAACTATATTCTCGTTGGGTGCCCCTCATATTCAGGATGGACGCGTATTGAAAAAGGACTTCATTATTGCATTGATAGTCGCTAATTTAAACTAACTGAATTTGATTTAATTTGACTTGCAAAATTAGTGGTGGTGCAGAAAAGGTGTATTATTTTAATAGCTAATGGCAAAAGGGCCCAGGGTCTTCCCTTTTTCCAATAGGCTGATTTAGCAACAGGACGGGAACGTCAGTTGACGACGGGAAAGCGCGCGGAAAGGACTAAACACGACTTCCGGTGCCCAATTTGCCGCTCTGCCATTGGTCAAGCCAGTTGTTTGATTTGCGCTCGCCGTTGTCAACTGACGTTCCCGTTCTGTTGCTAAATCAGCCTAATATCACGTTAGGGACGCGAGGCTGGTTTTTGAACACCAATACGGCGGACTTGAAGTCATGTACAGAACGCTCTATAGCTCAGTCAAGAGCCCATCAAATGGATCCATTTGATGGGCTCCTGTAAATGTGCACTATTAAATGAGCATTTTTACCATCTGTTAGCACAATAAGCACTTTTGGGACCCCTTTGCGACTTGACTTGTCAAACAGCTCGGTCTTGGTGTATTTTAAAGCTTTTCCAGTTTTGGTGCTTCCCCTTAAATACTTAGCCCCTGCTGTTGCATTCATCATTGCCTCTGGATCATAGAACTTTTTGAAGTCATAGACTATTTCGACCTGGAGAAAAACAATTTGTTTAGAAAAGAATTTATTTAAGCAATAGACCACACTTTCTATGGGTTTACCGGCGTGATAACCCACTCGGGATGTTGGGAGAACACGAGAAAAGGTTGTAAATTACGAGCCGAAGGCGAGTGATTTACTAGCTTTTCGAGTGTTCTCCCATTATCCTAAGTGGGTTATCACACCTGTAAAACCATAGAAAGTGTGATCTATTGCTTTTATAAAATAACTTTAAGTAAAACAGAGTTTACCAGCACAATAAACCACAGGTTTTTAACCAATCAGAACGCGCGCACTATCTTAGTTATTTTATAAAAGAGGATAAACGCCTCAAACCCTGAAGAAATTTGTACTGTCAGTAAATAATTCTAGTTTTCTTCATGATTTAGGTGTTTCTGATGCGGTTTACGAAAGACTTTACTGACAATTTTCAACCGACTTCAGCCAAAAGTGTCCGTATATTGTGTGAAGATCAAGGCCCAAGTGCTGGGAAACAGGGTAGCGCTTTATCAAATGATGGTTAAATTGTAAGTCAAGATTGTGTCTTTTGTTAGCTTAATTAAGGATCATTTTACGAGTGTCATCAGTGTGGTGAGAAGTTGATTTCTTTGGTCGTCTAGGACCGTGTTCTGTATTCACCAGTTAGTACGACTTATGACCTTCATGTGTGCGTCAAAGTGTGGCAAAGCTTTTGTTTTGAAAGACAATTTGACATTAT